AGTCTCGGCTCCCGGAAGGCTGCCTGGATCTGGTTAGTGAAGGTTCCAGGAGTGAAGCGGCCGGCAATAGGAGTGGCTCCGGTAGCAGCAGCAAATTTCAGCACAGCTCGCTTAAGAATTAACATCAAGAGTTAGCAATGCTCCAGAACGGCATCAAAGACCTCCCCAAGTGTCCACGTGCAGACACCCAGTTCTGTAACCACCTTGCAACAGCCCATGGAGTTGGGAGCCCTCCCATCTTCCCTGCTCAACAATGAAAACATCAAAGCACTTCACACACCCAGCAATTCTTTGTCCTCTGTGCTACCTGAGAACTACTTACAGAACTAGGGTCCAGAAATGCTAAGCATATCCCACCCCAAGGCCCTCTGCCTGGAATGCTGTCCCCACTCTCAATCCCCTAGGGCCCCTGTGGCTCACTGGCTTCCTCACATCTGCAGGCTCCAGGGCCACACCACCTGGTTTCAAGAACCAAGAAAGCCACTCCTGTGAGTGACTTGGGCAGGTTACTTGTGTGCTTCCAACAGGGTCATGAAAATTAAATTCATCAATATGACAGTGCCTGACAACCAAAAAGCACTTCCATGATCTGGTCCAATTGCATCACAGCTACCCTACATAAAGCAGGAATATACCCACATTCTTTCCCTTCCCTTCCTTTTTACCTCCATAAAAATGTATTTCCTGCATCCCTTCAGAAAGGCAGACTTGGTATTTTCCTGCTATATCCCAAAACCTTAGCAACACTGCCTGGACTATCAATATAGATGCTCTGTAAATTTTTGTTGAGGGAAGCCACGATGAGTTGTCACTAAGTTCATTCACAGTAGTAATTAAAAACTGTCTTCTACTATGCACACTACTTTAAGTGCTGTCACAAGCCAGCCTCTGGGGAATAACCCCCTGCAAAATACACTCTAAATTCATGGGAACCAGTTTTACCATCAATCTAAACAAGGACAAAAGAACCTGTCTCACTAGACAATTTAAGTACCTGTCAAAATCCAAGTCAAACATCCTTTTCAAATTAGAAATGGGCTGACTGAAATCCTTACTAGAGCTCTTAATCTAGTGGGCTCTTGAACACCACATGGTTTAAACCACGCAGATCCACTTATGTGGTTTTTTTTTTTATAGTACTGCATATTTTCTTTCTAGCTTGCTTTATTCCTAAAAACTCAGTACATAATACATATACAGAATGTGTTACTTGACTGCTTTTCTTATTGGTGAGGCTTCTGAAGGTCAACAGTAAGCTATTAAAGTTTTTGGGGAGTCAAGTTACACAGATTTTCGGTCATGCATGGGGTTAGTGCCCCTAATTCACGGTGTTGTTCAATGGTCAACTGTAAATTAATTTTCAAGAAATTCATTAGTTTTCTCAACAAAAAATTGTCAAAACAGAAATAGGGCAAAATACAAGTTTTATCCCACTGGCCACTAAAAAAAATTAAGTTACTTGTGTTGGCAAAGATTCTCTTAGGAGATGTGATGAGCCTTGGAGGACTGGTATCCTATTAGAAAACCTTTCTTGAAAACTGAAGCGCAACAAACCACCAGATGCCAAGTAGTATGTATATTGCAGACACAGAATACTGGCAATACAAGATTTGTATAAGTAGTTAAATTACAGAGTATTTTTATTTTCTTATACTTTTCCCTATATCCCACAATGTCTGTAAGCTTATTTTTTATAATAAAAACCAAGCATATTGTTTACAAACCTGGCCAGTATTCCTGGACGATATGACACTGACATCAGCTGGGTTTTCAATGGCAACAATGGCACGAGCTGCCAGCAGAAGCTTCTCCCAGGTTCTCTTCAGATTTATGATGTAGATACCTAGATGATAGCAAAAAGCTTTGTAACACCTGACCTAATTTGCAATGGATTTTCTTTTAAAAACTGAATGTAGCAGAGAGTACTATCCAACTCCAGTCATAGAGGCAAGCTCTACTGGTGTTAGCGAAAATCCTGCAATTTTTATAGCACACTTCCGACACTCAGAAGTTCATTGGCCACGGCTGGCCTCAACCTTGAGCTTTAATAGTGTGCACCTTTGATTCAGTAGGCAAAGTGCATCTTTTTCTTTTCCTGCATTAAGCCTCCATCAGGCCCCCATATGGATTCCTGCAAGTTCTTACCCACTTCCTGGCCTCTAGCCACTTTCCTTTCAACCTACCTCCATGCCAGATTCACCCAAAACTGGTTTACAACATGCCACTCCCACGCTTACGGCCTTCAGTGGCTGCATCTCTGAGCTGAAGCACTCCCTTGCCCAACATGCCTTACTACAAAGGCTTCACAACCTACCTTCCCTTTTCTACTCCCTTCCAAGCCTAATTGTTCTTTCCTATCTCTTGCTCTACTTTACTCTCAGAACTCAAACGGACCTGTATCAGTACCTGTGAAATACAAGGCACTGTAGAAAATAAAACTAATGAGCTTCCTCATCATAGCTCACAGCTCTTTCATGGAGCAACCCAAGTCCCATAACCTATCAACAGACATACTCTTACACTGAAGCCCAGAAAGCTATCCTTCCCAAAACCACCAGAACACTTTAATTTCTTACAAGTTATCTCTACATCCAACATGGGGTCAAACTCACAACGCTGAGACTGAGTCACATGCTCTACCGACTAACCCAACCAGGCACCCCACTTTTACTTAGTTTTAAAGCTTATTTCCAAAGTAGTGATCTGGTTTCATTCAGTGCTTAGTTGGAATGCCCTTCCCCACAAATCAAAGCAACTGACCATCACTTTTCCTTTTGTAGATGTACTGTTCCATTTGAAAGTCAAGGTTGGTGCCACCTAAGTGGGTTCCTGCTGCAAGGAATTTGAGGACATCCTCCTCCTTCATTTGCAGGACATCAAGGGCTCCGGACATTGTGAAAGTTTCCCTTTAAGTTACGACGGAAACCTGAAAAACAAGTTAACAATCCAGTCATTTTCATTCCAGTGACAAGTGGGTAAGGGACCAGGGGCATTCTTACCTACTCAAGAGCCAAACACCTTCATACTTAAATGCAACCCAAGGACCACACCTTTCAGTTTATAGTCTACTGGGATGAGACACAACGCAACAAACATATCCCACACGTTATAAAATTTCAGCAAATCTTTTGAGTGTGGAGATGGGAAAAAACACCTAAATAATTAAACAAGACGAAAATGGTGAATTGCCACTAACACTCCGAAGTAACCCGGAGTGAAGGTATGGATGAGTAACGGCCGTACAGATGCGAACAAGTTTATTTTCAAACAGACTGCAGGCAGGCGCTTCAGAATTATTTCTCTCTAGGGTTACAACTAATTTTCTGCAAAACCCTGCCAAAAATCTTAACACAAACGGGAAAAACCAACAGCCTAAATAGCTGTTGTAAACTGGCGCCTGGGCCTGAACTCACGGCCGAGTGCCAGGGTCTGGAGCGATCGAAGCGCGGTGCGTGGGCCATGCTTTCCACAGCCCCGCCGCCCAGCTGCAGGCCGGTCGGCACCCTCGCCCCGGCTCCAGCACGACCTCCGCGCGCTCCCGGGGCATTGTGGGGACTCGCGGGCCCGAGCCCAGCCACGTGCGCGCGGCCGGGCAGTGGTGGAGCGCGCCGGCAGGAGACAGACCCGCTCTCCATCCTAGCTTCCATCCCAGTCCTCGCACGCCTCACTCCAGCAGGAAGCTATTCTGGTGGCTTTCGGAGAGGCTGGGGAACCCCATAAGGCACTCACGCAAAACAACGCCGTATGGACCCTTCCCTGAGTAGCTCGGAAAGGACAGGCGGGCGGAAATGACGTCCTTAAATACTCCTCCGCCAGCCAATGACAACAAAAAGCCGAGCGGAAGGGCGGATGGGCGCCCTGACTCTGCAGGGCCGTTTGCGACCGTTAGTGCTTTCCGGCGCCGCAAAGATGTTCCTGACTGTGCGGCCGCCCCTGCAGGACTTCGTCAGAATCGAGCGCCTGTAGGCGGCCAGTAATAGCGGTTCCGACTTTAGCTCAGCGATTGGTCGCCGGGAGCTTGAGCGGGTTACCTGTCCTAAGTTGCAGTTTCCGTGCGTAGGAAGCTGTAACACAACGTGCCTAAATATTCGATCAACAAAAGCTGGAATTTTTTTCATTTCTTGAAGAACAATTTGGCAGTACGTAATTCAGAGTTTGAAAGTTGACTTACGGGAAATTTCCTGAAAAAATTAAAAGGAAAAGACTGTACAGATGGCAAGGTTTTGTTTTTTTTTAATAGAAGAAAAGGAATATCAATAGGTTATTAAAAATGTATTCTGTTCATATAGTACTATGCAGCCACCGAGAAATATTCAAAAGATACTCTATGTACAAACAAGAACTGCCGGATGAGGGACATTATTTTAAAAAGTTGAAACCCGTGTCAACTGTACTTCAATTAAAAAAAAAAGGGATTAAGTCGGTTAAACTACCGACTCTCGATGTTGGCTCAGGTCATGATCTCAGAGAGTAAGATCGAGCCCTGCTTAGAGCATGGAGCTTGCTTAAGATTCCCTTCCCTCCACCGCTCCCTGGGGAGGGGTCTCGCTCTGGAAATAAATAAATAATTGAAGCCCTATACATTTAAAAGATGATGGTAAAAAAATTGCCAAGTTATTAAATTACATAGTAGGTTTCAATCTCCGCCACACCTGAGAATCACTTGGAGAGCTTTTAAACATATGCCCAGCCTCAATTTTAAAAATCCGATTTTTAAAATTGAAGTATAATTGACATAAAAATTTCAGTTGTACTACAGTCTATATTTGTATATATTGTGAAATGATCACCACAATATATCCAGTTAACATCTGTCACCATCCAGTTATAAAGTTTGTTTTACTTGTGAGAACTTTTACCTTCTTAGCAACTGTCAAATATGCAACACAGTATTAACTATAGTCACCACGTTGTATATTATATTACATTTCCAGGACTTAAAAAATCTGATTCTTAAAAGTAGCTCCCTAGATAATTTTAATGTGCAGCCAGGGTGAGAACCGCTAATGTACAAGTAGAGAAACTGGGTGAGTTTTTTTTCCCCTCTCATTTTTAGTATTTTTGAAATTTTCTGAGGAACACAGTTTGTTTTACATTGCAACAAAACCCCATTGCAGTTTAAAAAGCTGATATAGAAGGAAAGAAGTAAATTTAGTCATGGCTATAAGCATCCTTAGAAACTGCTGAAAATATCTGGAGACATTTTGGCTTTCACAAGAAAAAGAAGTAGCTCTATGAAAAGGTAATGGGTGGCTTTTAGGGGCAGTTTTCTGTCACTGCATGACTTCTCTGGAGGGCTTTCTGGGACACTCCCAAGCCACCGTAGGCTCCCTCCCATATGCACGCTCCAGTCCCAAGACTACTTCCTTTGTTACAAGGAGGACATGGTACTGTAATTATGTTTAGGTGTTTCTCCACAAAATATTTTTCTCACAAAATAACTTCGCTCTTTTTTTTTTTTAAGATTTTATTTATTTGAGAGAGAGAGAGAGAGAAACTGAGATAACGAGCGAGCACAAGCAGGGGGAGCAGCAACAGAGTTAGGGGGAGAAGTAGGCTCCCCACTGAGCAGGGAGCCCGATGCAGCACTCGATCCCAGGACCCTGGGATCCTGACCTGAGTTGAAAGCAGACGCTTAACCGACTGAGGCAGCCAGGCGCCCCAGTAACTTTGCTCTTGAGGACTCATCTGCGTGATGAAAATCCTTGGCGAGGAAATGAGTTGACAAAAGTCCAGAGATGATGAATGCCTGACTGTGGTGGCAGTAAACCATGGTGAGGAGCCCTTGCCCCAAGAGGCATTTGTCAAAGAATATCTGAAGTGTTCTTGTGGCCACCTTGCTGCTTCCCAGTCCTCCTGCACAAGTTTTCGCAACATTTTTTATTCATGCACATTTTAAAAAAAGATTTACTTGGGGGGCGCCTGGGTGGCTCAGTTGGTTAAGCGACTGCCTTCGGCTCAGGTCATGATCCTGGAGTCCCAGGATCGAGTCCCGCATCGGGCTCCCTGCTCGGCAGGGAGTCTGCTTCTCCCTCTGACCCTCTCCCCTCTCATGTGCTCTCTGTCTCTCTCATTCTCTCTGTCTCAAATAAATAAATAAAATCTTTAAAAAAAAAAAAAAAAGATTTACTTGAGAGAGAGAGAGCAGGGGGGAGGGGCAGAGGGAGAGAGAGTACCAAGTGGATTCTGAGCTAAGCAGAGTCCAACGAGGGGCTCAATTTCACGACCCTGAGATCATGACCTGAGCCGAAACCAAGTCAGTCGCTTAACTGAGTGAGCCACCCAGGTGTCCCTGTTCTTGCCAATTTTTAATAAAAATCTCAGAGCCTATCTTTTGCAAACTTTTGATTTCTGGGGTTCATATTTAAAAAGATAAAAACTTGGGGCACCTGGGTGGCTTAGTTCGTTGAGCTTCCAACTCTTGGTTTCTGCTCCTGATCTTGGGGTCATAGGACTGAGCCCCATGTCAGGCTCCACGCTCAGGGCACAGTCGGCTTCAGGGTTCTTTCTCTCCCTCTGCCCCTCCCCCCTGCTTGCACACTCTCTCTCTAAAATAAATAAATCTTTAAAAAATAATAAAAAGGGGGACACCTGGGTGGCTCAGTCGGTTAAGTGCTCATGCATTAGAATCCCAGCTTCGCCACATGGTGTGACTCTGAAGAAGTCCTTTAACCTCTCTCAGGAAATAAGAGCTATTGCCTATTTCAGCTGCTGCCGTTCCCCTGAAATGAGCGCCTGTGCCGGGAATCCTAGGCTCACACAGCATGCAAGTGAACAGAGAAGGCTCACCAGATATTTTATGAACCAAGGTGTCAGTTTAATGCTCTATAAAAAAGGAAAGTTACATATCAAATATCAAAACTCAAAGTTTTTTAATTCAATCACACATATGTATACTTGAGAAATCACATTAACTAAAAAGGACATAACTGTCCCTGAAATGGAGACAGGCCTGGAGATTCCGGGTTGCTTCAGTCATTGTGACCCTCAATCTTCAGAGCATTTTCACCAAACACCTGTAACCTCGTACAGGCCCAACAGTCTTAGATAGCCACACCTGCAGGATATTCACGAACAGTTTATTAAGAAGCCAAAGTTCATCGAAGTCCAGTGGAATGAGTTCCCAGCCGAACCAGCCCTCCTGTTGTGATGTGGAAACCGGGGTTTAATATAGTCCAAAGTTACACCGGAAGTTAGAACACAATTACAATGAAAACTCATGCTCAGTCCGGAGTTTGTTACTCTAAAAACACTGGCCTACATACAGGTTTTCATTCTAGTGGGATGGGACCCAACTTGCACCCTAAGGAATGCATGGTATAAAGGAAGCACACAGTGAGAACAAAGGGCATTTCAGGCAGAAAGGAGAGAATGAACTATAACATAGCCAAGAGCATTCATTCAACATTCAGTAATCCACAAGCCTGATTCTGTGAGAGGGGGTTATTGAGAGGAGGGCAAATCACTTGGAGTGGTCAAGACCCAGGACAAGTAGGCAGTATACAAGTAGCATAGGTTAAGGCCTGACAGAGAAGGATTTGGGATATTCTCCTAGGGGAATTGGAGTATATTCTGCCGGCAGTGGGGACTCAAAGGATTATTAACAATGAGATGGGTATTATGAAGAGGTTTAAGGGAAACATAAGGTTGACTTCCAACTTGTTCAGTTAAAGTGGCCACAGGACATCCAAGTAGGTGGGGATGACTAGAAGGTGGCTAGATGCACAGAGGTAATGAGGTGAGGTCTGAGGAATGGACAAAATAATTGAAAGACAGAGACCAGTCATTCAGTAAACATTCATCACAGCGCTTCTCTGTGTCTTTAGGCAAGGATGAATGAGACACATGGCCTCTGCCTCTCGGAGCTTATGACTGAACTGGAAGAGAGAGATTTAACAGCTACTACATAGTCACTTAAGTACAGTACTGCTAACTGCTGCAGAAGAAAAGCACGGGGTCTGTGAGCACGTAGAAAAGGCTGACCTAGCATGAAGGGTTGCGAAAAGCTTCCCTGTGCAAAGGATGCTTGAGCCAAACTCTGAAGGACTGAATAGATTGGGGTGGAACAGAATGTTCCAGGCAGAGAAAATAGCAGTTCAAAGGTGCTGTGCAGCTGGGAGGAAGCTGGGGGATGGGGGAAGGTGGAAACATTAGGCATCAAGGGCACAGAGTACAAATGAGAACATCCAGGGAAGACTAGAGAATGGCTCATGGAGTCAAAAGGAGACAAGTCTGGCTACAGACAAGAATATGGAGGAAATCAGGTAAAACATAGGACAAGACTACATAAAGACAGTTCTTGAAGACAGCCAAGAAAATGAGGACGAACACCAGCACCAAGTGGGAGAGGATGGGGTGTAATCAGTAAAAAAAAAAGCACATGATAAAAATGGTCCACAAATAGAGCTGGACTTCCATGTTTTGATAACAGTTCAGGAAAAATCATTTTCAAAAAACAGTGATCTTTTAAAAGAAGTCAAATTACTTCTAAGCGTCAAATAAACACAGTTCAATCTTAGAAAAATACTATATATATGCAAAACGATTTGGAGAAATACAGCTGTTGACAGTAATAATGCAAAATGTTAACTAATAGTACTATGCTACAAATGCTCTCAGCTCTTTACAAAGTCTGTTACAAAGCAGTCCTTAGTTTTTCATCTTCCTGATGTCAGAAGTACACAAATTTAGTTAAAGTTGATTCCATGACGAGTGATACTTTAATTGGTTCTTCATGTAGATGAAATTCAGTGTGTACCACTCTATTATTCACCTGGAAGATTAAAGCACAAACTGTCTAAAAGCCCTGAGCAAAAGTCTTTTAGTAAACCCT